ATATATAACTTTTTTTTTAAAAAAACGAAAAGGTGGGCAAGAGCCTTAGTTGTGATTTCCAAAGGAAGCACGAGGCAACACAGGGTTAGGACTGGCTAGTTTGAATAATTGCAGCAGGCTCTGGGGCACCGGGGCTGTCTGGAGTTGCTGGATGCCTGGCCCTGGGATGATTAGGGCAGGAGAACAGTGACCAAGGTGTGAAAGCTTGATAGAGGAAATGGGGTGAAGGGGGATGCGAGCTCTGGCTTGGTTGGTTTGCACATGAAAGACTTGCTTTGTAGGCTAGTCCTGGGAATAGCAGTCTCTCCAGGGTTAGTGAGGCCCCAGAGGCCAAGACATCAGAGTAAAGAGAAATGTATAATGCGGTGTTTAACCCCAAGTTCCCTTGCTAACCAACAGACACTACATCCAAGGGAGGGAATAAGTCTGAGTTAGGTGCCCACCGTCATGACTTGCACAGCTCCCCCGCTTTCCCCAGAATAGCCCAGTTTCTTCTTCTGCAGAACAGACGGCATCTAAATGGACTGAAAGGCCCCGTCTGATCAGGCTCCCTCCTGCTTCACCAGCCTCACCCGCATTGGCTCCATCTTCCTCTGGGCCCACAGTCCTCACTGCATTCCTGGGACTCTGAGAGCCCCTCTCCACATGGGCAGGGTCCTCTATTGGAAGAGCTCTCCCCACTCTCTTTGCTTGAGGGCCTTCTTTCACCCTCTGGTTCTTGTCTCAAACGTCATCTCCAGGATCTGACCTTCACAACCATCTTTGTCTGCTGTCAGTCCCACCTCTACTTTTCTCCCAGGCTGGTTTCTTTTTTTCATTCCATAGTTCACAATCAGAAATGCCTTGGCTTGAATCTCTGTTTAGTTGTTTTCTCCTTGGTTGCCCAACTTTCCCACTAGAACATAAATCTGAGAGGGCAGGTACCATGTCTGTCTTGTTTACTACGGATTCTCCAGGGCTTAGTATCTAGCACAGTGCCTGGTACAAGTGCAATAAACCTAGAATGAATGAATGCAGGAATGAAGAAATGAACAAAGAAGTTGATTTTTAGGATACATGTGGAACTGGAATCATTGACAATTCTAGTGGCATCAGAGCAGGCTAGTCTGTTTCATGATGTCCTTGCTACTATTCTCTTTTGTGTCTCTTCTTACCAGTTCCTTTTTGCCCTCTAGTTTCTGCCTGCTCATAAACTGACTGCACGTGGCCATCGCTGCCACAACTTCAGATTCCATAGATTACAGGGTCCCCTCTTCATATTTCTTAGTTCAAGTTCCCAAGGAGGAGAATCTGGTTGCCCCAGTTCATTTCTTTGAGCCAGGGTACCACAAAGGCTACTGTCTTGTCTCTGGATTGACCACCTTTGGGTCAGGTGATACTCCTGTCTGAGAGCTGGTCCTCAGAGTGTGGGTCATGAGTATAAAATATTCCAGCTGAGGCTGGGAGAAGGAAGTTTCCTTTGGAAGGGGAGGTGTGGGTGGAGCAGGCAAGGACTGCTGGCTCCAGAGCCCAGAAAGGACGCCCTGACTGTAGTTCAGACTAGACTAGAGTCTCATGCTAGAGATGTTTTTCTGTCCCTTATTTTACCAGATTGAAACCGTCAGCTGACTGTGGCCCGTTTCGAGGACTGCCCATCTTCATTCACTCCATTTATAGCTGGATTGACACCCTTAGTAAAAGCCCCAGCTACCTGTGGGTGGTTTGGATCTACCAGAACCTCATCGGGAGTGTGCACTTCTTTTTCACCCTCACCCTTATTGTGTTGTAAGTGGGGCACCTTGGCCAACATTTTATTAACACAGCACGTGGACAGCCAGCCATGGGGACGTTCGACGGGAAAGCAAAGGGCTACGTCACAGCTCAGTGTTCTGGATGATCCTGATTATGCCCTTAAGTTTTTAAAAAAAATATATTTAATACTATCTTAGGGTGGTTGTTTTGCCTGTTTTATGAAGAAGGCAATACCTGCTCTGCCCCTCTTAGAGGATAACATGAAAAAATAGGGGGAAAAATGGATTTGAGAATGCTTAGGACAATTATATGTGTGATTCTTTCTGAGATTGTGACATATTAAAATGGGTTGGGCATTATTGATATATAGGATAGTGTATTTTCATTTTCAAATAGGAAAAGATCAATTTCTGACTTCTTGTGAAAAAGCAGATCTGCCAAGACTGGGCCCGCGTGCACACTTGGTTGGCTGACTCATGCCCCGCCCTCTTTGGAAGTGCAGCTCTGATGTGTTTGAGATCGCAGGTCCTTGTGTAGAGAGACGCCCATGTGGCTCTCAGGCCCGCCCTCCCCAACATGGGGCTGCTTGCCATTGGCCTCTTTAAAATGGAGAGTTCTCCTAGTGTCTTGATCCTTCAAGCTTCTAATTCACTGGGAAGCTTGTTGGAAAAGTGGAATCTCAGGCCCTACCCCAGTCCTATAGAATCAGCACCTGCATTTTAACAAATTCCCAGGAAATTTGTATCATGCTGAAGTTTGAATAGCACTGTCCAGATTCATAAATTCTGCCTGCTCATGTACATTTTCATTTCTGGCCCCACACCCAGAGAAGCTCAATTCATTGATCTGAAGAGGGGCCATGGCATGAGTCTTTCTACCAACTCTCAGGTGGTTCCATGTGCAGCGTGAGGACACCCATTAAGATAAATGTATTTAACCTGGAACTCCACCAGACACAATTTTTCAGGAACACGGTTGGGCCAAAATCCATTTTCAAGCAAATGTTCCAGTTCCTTTGCACCCAATTGTTATTCAGAGCCTGCAAAACACTGGCAAGTGCCTGCCATGCTTTCTGTTCTTCTCTTCTAGAATCATCACCTATCTTTACTGGCAGATCACAGAGGGAAGGAAGATTATGATCAGGTTGCTCCACGAACAGATCATCAATGTAAGTTCTGTTGAGCCCATCTGTTATCCACCCCCTTTGACATTTTATAATGGAAATTTTCAAACATATTCCCAAACAGAATAGTACAGTGAACCTCCACCTGCCCACCACTCACCCCAACAATCATCAACAACTGTGTATTCTTATTTCATCTAGCCACTATCCCTTCACTGCAAATCTCTGGGTTATTTTAAAGAAAATCCTAGACTTTATACCATTTTATCTGTAAAAACTTTTATATGCCTAAGATATACAGACTTTTAAAGAAACATAACCACAATACCAATCATCACACCTAAAAGAAAACTTAATTCCTTATTATCATCCAGTACCCAGGCAATGGTCAGATTTCCCCGATGGTCCCATTGAGTATCTTTTTACAGTAGGGTTGTTCAAATCAGGATCTGAGAAAGCGCCACATGTTGCATTTGGTTGGTATGTCTTTAATGTGTCTTTCAACCTATTACAGTTCACTCTTCCTCTCTTCTGCCATTTATTGGTGAAGAAACCAAGTCATTGTCTTGTAATAGTCCCCACATTCTGGGTATATATGATTTTCAACCTGTGGTGGTATTTGGCACATTCCTTTTTACTTTTTATTTCCCATAAACTGGTGGTGGATGCTTTGTCCAGCATGCTTCACTGATGATGCTATGTCCTTCTTATGGCATTTGAGATATGAAATGTGCTTGTCTTTATTTTGTGTGATGTTAAGAGTGATCAGTGAACCCAAGCTTTGTTAGCTTGACCCATCCATCCTAAAGCTCCTATCAGCCACCTCTCTAATGGATTTAGCAGCCTTTGATGAGTATTGCCTAGAAGATCCATTTTATTTCGTTAGGGATTACAAAAGAATGTTATTCTAATTTTAGAATTTCTTCTGCACTTGTTAGCTGGAATTCTATAAAAGACGAATTTTTACTCATCTTTGATTTGAATTTTTTTCACCATTTCCTTGAAATACACCTGACACAGGAAAGGCAAAGTAAATGCAAGATTCTTCCCCTTTATTCCCCAGTTTTCAAAATGCCTACTGTATTAGTTTCCTAGGGTGCCATAAATTTACCACAAACTTGATGACTTAAAAATACAGAAATTTATTGTCTCACATTTCCGGAGGCCAGAAATCCAAAATGAAGGTGTCAGCAGAATTGGTTCCTTCTGAAGCCCTGAGGGAGAATCCAGGCCTCTTCCTAGCTTCTGATGGCAGCTGGCTAATCTTGGTGTTTCTTGGTTCAGAGCTTCATAACTCCAATCCCTACCTCTGTCTTCACAAGGCCTTTCTCTCTGTATGTCTGCTTCTCCTTCTCTTCCATGGACTTGTCATTGGATTTAGGGTTCACCTTCATCCAGAATGATCTCACCTCCAAATCCTTAATTTAATTACATCTTCAAAGACCCTTTTCCAAACAAAGCCATGTTCACAAATATTGGGGTTAGGATAACTTGGACATATCTATTCAACCCACTATACCTAGTAACCTTCCAAATGTGGCCAGTGAGGATTTTTAAATTATCATTATGAATTCATGGCTTTAAGTCTATTTTGGCATTTATCAATTACAGTCATTTGTTTATACTTAAATAGCCTCCCTTTTTGCTAGTGGAAATCCTTTTGAATTAGCTCCTGGGTTCTTTTGACATGACTTCAGAGGTGGTTGGTAGCTTCCTTGCTCTCTGGTAGTTTCCAGATTCATCTTGCTCATTTCCTGTCCCAGAACAAGAATCAGCCATTTTTTTCAATTTATTCAAGGAGTCCCGGTGAAATGGTATTTAGAGTCCACAGTCTAGGCACAGGGATGCTCATTGCTACTGGGAAGGTTTCCTTCTAAATATCAGCATAACCATGACATGAGTAGTATGCCTAAGAACATGGGAAAGAAGCAGGACTACCCAGGGTTCTCCCTGCTTGAACCATTGGGGTTTCAGATCTTTTGAGTTGGTCCTTTTGGAGTGTAAAGAAAGGGCATGGGTTAGTTATGCTCTCTCCCCTGCTTGTCCCCAGAAGCATCACACATATTTTTCTGATGCAGGACTCTGAATGGTTTGGGCAAGTCCTGCGAAGATCTGAACATGGGAGGGATTTGATTCTAAAACCTCCAGTAGTAAAGGCCGTGTCGGGGTGGTGTCTCGATGGCATCATTTCAGGGAGGCGCCATAAACATCGCCACAGGCCTGCCTGCTTGGGAGTCTAGCCCAGAGGATGGATCCCAAAGACCGGGACATTGTCTCCAAAAGAATCCAGACAAAGAAGCTAGGAACAGGCATGGCAACAACCCTTCCCAATATGATCACCTGCATCAGAACTCCTGAGTGCTTGTTAAAATGCAAACTCCTGTTACCCTTTCCTCTTCCACCCAATAATGGCAGCAGATAACATTTGTTGAGCACTTACGTGATGCCTGGCATTGTGCTAAGTGATAAACAAAAATTTGTATTAAATTTTCATTCCTTGTTCTGGGCACATACATTTCTTGAAACCGCTATTTTAAAATTAAGGAAACAGACTTACAGAGTGAAGTGATTTGCCCCCAGTCACAGGGATAGTTAAATGGTAGGATTTGAGCCAGGCAACTCCAAAATTTGTGCTCTTAACTGCAGTACAGTTTTGCCTCCCCGAGTCAAAATCTGTTGGAGAAAGCCAAAGAGTTTGCACTTTGCAAGCTCTCCAGGTAATTCTAATTCACTCTAGAATAAGGAAATGGCTGCTATATGTGAGAGATTTCAAAAAAAAAAAAAGTCTGCTACATCCAAGACTGCTGGGGAGCTTGTTAAAAATAAGAATTCCCAAGTTCAGCTCTTCCTTAGAGAAGAATTCCAATTAGTAACTGCAGAAAGAATGAGAGGTACAGACAATTATCACAAAGCAAATAGCACCGTAATTAGTGTTGCAAGTGAGATCCACTCGTGGATACTAAAATTAACGGGTGAAAGTTTAAAGAAAAATTCCTGTCACCTGCAACAGATTCGCAGGAAAGCAACTCACCCTCCCTTTGCTTTCTATATGCCTTCTTCCTTTCTTCCCCTCCCCAACTAGGGAATTATTTAGCTGAGTCTATTCCATCCGCACAGATAGCTTCGACAGATGAAATACAGTTGATGTCCTTAGACGCAGAGCTGTAAGCTTTGACATCGTCGGGGGGAGGACAGGGCAGGCCCAGGCAATGCTGGGTGCCCACGCAGGGTTCTGGGACAGAGGGAAGGCCCAAGGGGGATACAGGAAACCATTTGCCCCGGGCCTTCAGACAGTGGCATGTAAGTTGCTTCTAGCAACCAGGCTGGAGAAGACAGCTACTCAAGCCTGCTCGGGGAATTGCTTTAGAGGAGAATATTCTAATTCAGGAAGGCTTTGGGGGATAATTTGGCTTTGCTATGAAATGTTTCTTTTCTTTGATCAAGAGAAAACGTAGCAGCAGCCATCCAATGGACCCCACCCGCCTAAAAATAAACTTTTCCTTCATTTACTTCTCAACCCCACACCCTCATTAACCCCCCATGTCTTTGTTTTTATTTTTCTCCTTGGCAGGAGGGCAAGGATAAAGTGTTCCTGATAGAAAAGTTGGCTAAGCTGCAGGAGACAGAGAAGAGAGCAAACCCCAGCTCAGTCACACCGGGGAGGAGAGACTTGGAGGTGAGGCTGGAGGCTGCCTTGGGATCCCTGCGACACCTGCTTGCCTCCCTGTGAAAAGGGCATCAGGGAGCTAGAATCATATGAGGATACTTCACTTTCTATATTTAGACATTTCTGTATTTTTTATTTAAAAAATAGTACTCATTCATCCGATCCTTTCCATGCCTGGGCGTGTTCTAGGTGCTGGGTTATTGCAGTGAACACAGCAAAGGCGCTGCCCTCGTGAAGCTTGCATCCATCTTTTCTGTAACCCAGTCATACAAAAGTATATCCCACCGAGATGAAAAGCGCCCTGAAATCTCACCCCACTGTATTAATGCTCCAGTGTACATTCTTCCAGATCTTTCCCCCTGGGTATCTGCAAACATACATGCATCTAACATTTTTGTTTATTTTTTACACTATACACATGTATCATAACCCTCCCCCCTTAATATCTTGGACATTGTTTCAGTCTCTACATATTTGGACATCTGAGTTGTTTCCATGTTTTTTAAGATTAAAAATAGCGTGTAATGAAACATTTTTGTTATAATTATTTTTTATGCAAGTATTTCAGCCACAGGACGCCCACATGATAATGTTAATAGATATTGCCATAGCACTCTCTTAAAAAGATGTTACCAATTTCATTCTTACCAGGAGGGTGTAAGAGATGTCTGGAACCATGATTCCAGGGCCCATGCTGGCTTCCTTGGTAGCCTGGAAAATACAGATAAACAGTCAGTCCACCTTAATTCAGATGCCACTGGTTTTGGAAGTTATGATCTTGTCAAAAGACTGCTGTGTCATCTACTATCTGTGAGATTAATACTGTCAGCACCATCAGGGGATCAAGAGGCTCAACTCTAGGTCCTATGAAGGCCGGGAGCATGTCTACACCCTTGCAGCCCCAGGTCCCAATCTGCTACCTAGCATATTATAAATGCTCTGTGAAATGAATGGGGAAAAATCAATGGAGTCAAGTCCCTAAAAAACACAACAAAACATGTTCGATGTTTCTGTGGTTGAGCCTTGTTCTTAATCTGTCACCGCTCGGTTTCACAATGGTGGAGGCTCACACGTCTTCCCAGCTGTGCAGCAGGACTGGGGTCTGCATTATTTTCTGGTGGTGAGGCTGCCTGTTGTCTTCTTTTTCAGGAGCCAGGCCCTTTGCACGCCAGGGAACATGACGCTGCTCATGGTGAGTAACCGAGTTGGCACTGAAGAAGATCTAGTTTATCTAGGTGACATATCCCAGGGAGAGGATCAGAATTGCTCATGAATCAGTTACTCGTTCAGTTGCAAGAACCGGCCCAAAGTGGCTTTAGCAAAAACCCAAGAATAATTCTTGCTTCAACAGCTGGAGCTCCCCATATGTCACAAGAACCCGGTTTCTTTCTGTTTAGTTTTTTTCCGTGTTAGCTCCTTTGTCAAGTAGGCTCTTCCTAATCACTGCAAGACACCTTTTTCCGCTTCTTCTGTCAATTGGCCAGATCTGAGTCACAGGCCTCATCTGTAGATACAAGTGGGACAATTATACAGACCACGGGGGCTGAGGTTGGGGAAGGGTGGCTTCCCAAAGAAAACCTGTGGCTGATGCCAGAAGGGGAATGAATGCTGGGGAGGAAACACACGAACCAATCAATTCATCTTTTGGGGAATAGCAGTTACTGACGGCATCTGGTGCCAGGCGTTCAAGGGGGAGAACTGAAGGAACTTAAAAGGAGGAGGCAAGGAGGCACTAGAAGCTGAGCGCTCTCGGAGGCCAATGTGGCCTTCCCCTTGGAGGGTGGGGCAGTGTGTGTCTGTGCTAACAACTCTTCCCTGTGTCAAACCCAGACCTGCGATTCAGGCGATCAGTTCAAGGAAATAATCCAAAGGCCTGAGGATTATTGTGGTAGCCAGACACCAATCAAATAAGGAAAGAAGATAAAGACAGAACAACTTCTTCCATGACGCCTTTCGGAGTTTCTCAGAAGAGAATTCAAGCTATTTGCCAGGAGTGGGAACTGACCACAGTGTAAATACTGGAGTAAAATTGGCCATTCCCTGCTGCTATTTTATACTTGAATTGCTGATTTTTTAAGATAAAATATTTGGGATTTTCTAATAAAGACTGTTGTAATATTTTAACTAGTTCACAGAAACCTGGGAAGAGGTAACCTGGGAATGATGTATTTTATCTTTAAGAGATGAGCATATGAATTATTGATCCTTAGAAAGCTCTCCCCTCAGACCTCTCAGACCTGGCAAAGGTTTAGAAAGTAGTGCTAAGACAAGTGGTCCAGCCTGAATAAAAATGTGATTCTCTGTCGTGAATGTGATACTTCTGAATTGTGGGACCTGCATTTGTTCATGACTTTGTGCTGAAAATGTCCCCATGTTACCCAAAGGTGAAGTAAAACCAGAAGTCTCACCTATGAACTTTATTACATGTCAAGTACATGAGTTTTTGGGGTTGGACTGGGGTGGGGAGGTGTGGACTAGGACTCTGCTCTGTGAGATTTTATACATGACCATTAAACATAAAAACAGTGGTATGTGTGGAATATGTGTGTGTAATGAATAGATATGTGTGTATATATATACATATGCATACACATATATATAGCATTCTTCTGCAGATTTGTCAAGTGATTCACAAGGCCGGGACTGTACTTAAAACTGAAGGGTCCAGCAGGAAGGTACAATTACCAGACTACTCAAGGTGGGGGGAGTCTCCTCATGAGTAATCACTGTCATGGAATCTAATTGGAACTGAATTTAGGAAACATTTAAGATACACTTGGAACTCAAACATCTAATCAGTGTTCAGTCATGGATTCACTTTTTCATTCACTTATTTATTCGTTAACTCATTTCATCAACTGAATTAATTTCTTTTGGTATCATCTTTGCTAGTGGTTGCCAATACTGTTCATTCATTCATTCATTCATTCATTTCACAAATAGGTGCCAAGTGGTGACCAAGATAGTGAACAATTCGAGACACAGCCTCTGCCCTCATAAGCTTACTGTCTAGCAGATTCATTTAGACAGGAACTTAATAATTAAACAACAATTATCATTGTGATAGGTCTTATGAAGGAGAAGCCGAGGGGACAATTGGGACACAACTTGTCTATGGGGTTAGTGAAGGCAGCCCGTGGAATTGATGTTTGAAGTGATTTCTTTCCCCTCTGTGACATCTTAATGCTGCTTGTGTTTCTCTGGCTTCTACATCGAAATGTGAGTTCCCTCTGAAAGCGTCATTTCTGCTGACTTGCCATATGCTAAGGGTTTATATTTCCATTCACCACCATCCTTTCCTCCACTTCCATAAAACCCCTGCTTCTCCTGGAGGTTTAGACACAATAGAAAGATCTAGTCTGCAGGCCTCACACACACATTTGGATGTGGGGATGCTTTTAACACTTGGTCTTGAGATAGGGGATGTATTAGTTTCCTGGGGCTGTCATAATCAAATACCACAGACTGGGTTGCTTAAACAACACAAATATATTTTCTCACAGTTCTGGAGGCTAGAAGTCCAAGATCAAAGTGTTGGTCTCCATAGTCTTGGTTTCATCTGAGGCCTCTCTCCTTGGCTTGCGGATGGCCACATTCTTGCTGTACCCCCACACAGTGTTTTTCCTCTGTGTGTGCACATTCTGGTGTAACTTTGTGTGTCCAGATTTGCTCTTCTTAGAAGGATGCCAGGCAGATTGGATACGACTCACCTTCATGGCTTCCTTTTCATTTATTCACCTAAAGGCGGTATCTCCAGAAAAGGTTACATTCTGAGGTACTGGGGGTTCAGATTTCAGCATATGATTTGGGGTCAACACAGTTTGGCCCGTAACAGGGGCCAGCTGTCCCCCAGTCCCTTCGTAACCTCCCTTTGGGCTTCAGGGTTCTCAGTGCTGGCTGCCCAAGAATCACATGGCAAGCAGGCCAACAACAGCCAGCCCCAGCCCCTGCTCTAGATGAACTAAATTGGGCATACATGCTTTTTCTTTAAAGCTCCCCAAATGGCTTCAGTAGGAAGCCAGGGCTGAGAACTACTGAGCTAGGATCTAGAGCAGTCCTTCCCAAACTCACCTGACCATAAAAGCCACTGAGGCACTTAACATGCAAATGGTGAGCTCATAATATTGTATCAAAATCTTCAGAGGACATTCCCCATTCTCCTCTTTCAACCTTTATTTTAATTAGTTCACAATTATAAAAGTAACATAGGCTTTTCAACCCTCACTTGCAAGCTGATAACCCCTGGAATTTTAAGTATAGAAAAGGGATAGGCTCTTTTGAATTTCTGCAGGATCTGATCCTTCAAGTGGCCTCAGTGAATGGCCCAGTTCATTTCTTAGGAGGCTATGAGATGCTTTTGTGTGAAGTTCAATTACAAAAGGAGTGACTAAAATAGCGTAGACTGGCACGTGTTTTTCTAATCTTTGAATTGAGGCCAAGTGGTAAGAATTCAGCTCATTAACAGGCACTGTCTCTCCGTATGTAGCACCTCACAGAACCCACCTAACTTCTCCAAGTTGAAACTTTTTCATAGCATTTCCATGTCTGATCAACAGCGAGACAGACCATTGAGAGGAGCTCAAGTGTGGCGCGGAGGGCCCCCTGCTTTGCTCCTGGCTGTACCTGCCTGATGACAGCAGTGCGGCACACCTATGTGGCGTCACTCTCCGCTCAGTGCCTCTCCACTTTAATCACCAGGCTCTTGTCACAAAGCAGATCCTAATTTGTGAGATCAGGGAGGGGAGGGGGCCTGAGAGTCTGACTTTCCATCTAGTACCATGGGTCTGAGGCGCATGCCCTGAGTAGTATGGTTTTAGAGCATCCCCACATTTTTTTTCTTATTTTATCTTTATAACAATATTATTGCACTGTTAACACATTTTTCAAAAACACTTCCACTTTTATCATTGGACCCTTATAACATTATTGCTATAAGACAGTTAGTGCAAATACGATCTCCATTTGACAGATGATGACAACTTAGACACACACAGGTTAAGTGATTTGGCTGAGGCCTCATAGTGAGTGAGTGGCAGGATGGAGGACTTCAAGTTTTCTCTAGCTCAGTGGTTCTCAGAGTTGTGCACGTGTTAGAACTGCCTGGAGGGCTCGCTAAAACATCCTGAGCCCCACCCAGAGTTTCAGTAGTTCTGGGATGGGTTCTGAGAATTTGCATTTTTAATAAGTTCCCCCATAGCTGATGTTGAGTGTCTCAAAGGACAGCATCCGCTGTGCCTAGCTGATATCCAGCCTCTTCTTAGTACCTGGAGTTCTACAGGGATTTTGAGCACAACAGAACATACAAAGTTATTAATCCTCAGTATTTTTGATCAAATAAATCAAATAACCTTACCGTACAGTAACTTTCACTCCATGCTAAAGAAGGTATGAGTGGATGTTTGGAGCACTTCATTAACTCACACCCTTTCTTGTCCTCAAAGCTGTGGTTTACTGTCCTATGGAAGCACCATTTCCACGTTAGAAATGGTGGCAATTTCATTTAGAAATTTGCATCTAATACAACTAGATTACTTGTCTTGGTGAAATTCTTGTCAAAACAGGATTGTAGGCACCAGTCTCCAAAGAAAAAATGAGTATTGTTTAATTTAGTGGAGTTTTTAAGCCTTTTGAGGTAGGCTTTTCGATGTTATGTCTCCAGCACCCTGAGAGCAGAGGTTCAGGCCACTAAACAGATGTGATTTTTATCTGTATTAATGTTCTTAGAAAGAATGCTGTTAGGATTTTGGATGGCCCCTTGATGCAGCTGAATCCTGAATCATTTACCTAAACTCCCAAATTTTCGTCTCACTGTATCTGCATCTCTAGCTTCCTCAAGGACGTTTCCACTGATATCCCGTAATTCATTCCTTCAACATTTATTGAACACCTACGGGACAGGCATCGTCACAGGTATGAACCAGACACAGTAAGCAGGGGTTTAGGGTGTGGGCTCTGGAATTATATCACCTGGGCCTGAATCCCTATCTTATTACTGTTGTGTGACTTTAGACAAGCTACTTAACTTCTCTGTGCTTTGGTTTCCTTCAGTATTTAATGGTACCAACCTCAGGGTGTTGTTGCAGAGTAAACACATGGGAAGCATTTGAAACTGTCTAGTACATGGTAGACAGTAAATGTTATTAACAAGCCTTTTTCAGGCATTTTCATTTAATCACAACCACCCTCTGAGGTGCTATGAACACTGTCCTTATTTTACGGATGAATTAAGTAACTTGCCCAAAGTCATACACCTGGTAAGTTGCTGATCAGGAAATCAGATTTACTTTTCTCTGATCCCAAATCCTGTCTTTAACCCCTATACCAAGTCTTTCAAGTAAGTACTTAATGGTAGTACTTATTAACATCATCTTTCTTCATCCAAATTCTCTATTGTTCAAGGCCCAAACCATTTAGCATAGGCTCTAAATCCTTAATTGGGTATGGCAGAGCCAAGAGCAAATGGACTTGAGACAAAAGTCAAGAGACAGCGAACACNCATTTTTTTTCTTATTTTATCTTTATAACAATATTATTGCACTGTTAACACATTTTTCAAAAACACTTCCACTTTTATCATTGGACCCTTATAACATTATTGCTATAAGACAGTTAGTGCAAATACGATCTCCATTTGACAGATGATGACAACTTAGACACACACAGGTTAAGTGATTTGGCTGAGGCCTCATAGTGAGTGAGTGGCAGGATGGAGGACTTCAAGTTTTCTCTAGCTCAGTGGTTCTCAGAGTTGTGCACGTGTTAGAACTGCCTGGAGGGCTCGCTAAAACATCCTGAGCCCCACCCAGAGTTTCAGTAGTTCTGGGATGGGTTCTGAGAATTTGCATTTTTAATAAGTTCCCCCATAGCTGATGTTGAGTGTCTCAAAGGACAGCATCCGCTGTGCCTAGCTGATATCCAGCCTCTTCTTAGTACCTGGAGTTCTACAGGGATTTTGAGCACAACAGAACATACAAAGTTATTAATCCTCAGTATTTTTGATCAAATAAATCAAATAACCTTACCGTACAGTAACTTTCACTCCATGCTAAAGAAGGTATGAGTGGATGTTTGGAGCACTTCATTAACTCACACCCTTTCTTGTCCTCAAAGCTGTGGTTTACTGTCCTATGGAAGCACCATTTCCACGTTAGAAATGGTGGCAATTTCATTTAGAAATTTGCATCTAATACAACTAGATTACTTGTCTTGGTGAAATTCTTGTCAAAACAGGATTGTAGACACCAGTCTCCAAAGAAAAAATGAGTATTGTTTAATTTAGTGGAGTTTTTAAGCCTTTTGAGGTAGGCTTTTCGATGTTATGTCTCCAGCACCCTGAGAGCAGAGGTTCAGGCCACTAAACAGATGTGATTTTTATCTGTATTAATGTTCTTAGAAAGAATGCTGTTAGGATTTTGGATGGCCCCTTGATGCAGCTGAATCCTGAATCATTTACCTAAACTCCCAAATTTTCGTCTCACTGTATCTGCATCTCTAGCTTCCTCAAGGACGTTTCCACTGATATCCCGTAATTCATTCCTTCAACATTTATTGAACACCTACGGGACAGGCATCGTCACAGGTATGAACCAGACACAGTAAGCAGGGGTTTAGGGTGTGGGCTCTGGAATTATATCACCTGGGCCTGAATCCCTATCTTATTACTGTTGTGTGACTTTAGACAAGCTACTTAACTTCTCTGTGCTTTGGTTTCCTTCAGTATTTAATGGTACCAACCTCAGGGTGTTGTTGCAGAGTAAACACATGGGAAGCATTTGAAACTGTCTAGTACATGGTAGACAGTAAATGTTATTAACAAGCCTTTTTCAGGCATTTTCATTTAATCACAACCACCCTCTGAGGTGCTATGAACACTGTCCTTATTTTACGGATGAATTAAGTAACTTGCCCAAAGTCATACACCTGGTAAGTTGCTGATCAGGAAATCAGATTTACTTTTCTCTGATCCCAAATCCTGTCTTTAACCCCTATACCAAGTCTTTCAAGTAAGTACTTAATGGTAGTACTTATTAACATCATCTTTCTTCATCCAAATTCTCTATTGTTCAAGGCCCAAACCATTTAGCATAGGCTCTAAATCCTTAATTGGGTATGGCAGAGCCAAGAGCAAATGGACTTGAGACAAAAGTCAAGAGACAGCGAACACAACAGAAGTGACCTTGTTAACTATACTGTCCCAAAGAGCAGTTCCCTGTCGGTTGTGCAGTCTCCAAAGGTGCAGTCTCCGAAGGTTAAGTCACAGGAGGAATTCAGGCCACAGAATTTCTGGGTGGTTCTCTTTGTCACTCTAGTCATAACGTGACATGGAATTATATGCAGTTCCCTGGTATCTGTTGCATTTATTGAATTAATCTTTATCCTGATAATTTTTAAAGAAAATTTTTTGTAAATTGAAAATTGTCTCAAACCCCATCTACACGTCCCTGTCCCTGCCAACACCAACTATAGCAAGGGTTTGCTTCTCACTGCCATCTAGCTGTGTGGACTGGTGGCCTGCCTGATGCAAGTGTGAGGCTGGTGACCCACTAGGACTCAGGAGGGAAGTCATGACTAAGTTGTGGGGCCTGTGATCAAGGCTATGGGTGGGCTGTAAGAGGGGAGGGTGGGGGCAGCTAGAGAAAGACAGCTTTGCAATTTTTTAAAGACTCAACTTTATTTTAAATATTGCTATTTAAGTTCACAATAAGACCCTCCAGAAGCTCACATGGGAAGAAGCTGGGAATCAAGGGCTTTATAGACAGGCAGAGGTTGGGGGGGGGAAGGGAGGGGAGGGGAGAGGAGGCGTGGTGAAGAGCAGGGGCTCTGTCAGGCCAAACTGGATTTGAATCCCAATTGCACCAAAGAAATTTAAGACCTTGAGTGACTGACTTTAACTTGGCACTGCCTGTTTCCTCATCAGTAAAAAGCAAGTACCTCTAAGATTTTTTAAGATTTAATTAAGATAATGTGTTAAACCACTAAAGTTCCTGGCAAATAGTAAAAAACAAATTTTATCTATCATAAGATCAGGCTCTGCTATGTCACCAGCAGTGTCCTTTCTGGGGAAGACCCTTCCCTTCCACAGGTTTTAGTTTTCTTTTGTAAACTGAGGATAAGCCTAGATGTCCTCGAATTGTCTCGGATCTGGTGCAGAGTAGACTGAGAGTGCAGCTCTGCCCCCTAGTGGTCTGTAGTTCTTATTTCAAGGTACCATAAACAATCCCTCAGGCAGGTGGCAAGACTTCCCTGACATTTGCGCCACACTGAAGCTGTTGCCCCTGGTCACTGGACTGCTGACAGCAGCTTCCCTAAATTCCTTATGTCCTAGGATTTGATGCTTGATACGCAGTTTTCCCTTAGTGCTCCTTTTAATGATTTTATTAGTATAGTCACAAGTTTGACGTCTACAGTACATTGATAATGTAGCAGAATAAAAATACTTTAAATAAATTATATAAGTGTGTCGGGTTTTAAAATGTCAACTTTGAGTGATCATGCATTTCCCATGCATCTGCATTTGCACCCCCACATTGCACAACTCAATCTGTGCTTATCCTCAGTGGGTCTTGGTATATGCCTCAGCGAGGTCTGGGCAGGAGCTGTTGTACCTTTTTGCAGACCCAGATTTTCAAGAGCAACGGTGTTGAACTCAGGCATTCCATGGAGCACTGTGGCAACACTGGGTTTTGCTTTGGTTCAGGTAACAATGCAACTACCCATTATTGCTTCTGTGGGCCACCTGATCCCCCATGGCTTGGGCTAGCACAAAGGGTTTTTCAATATCCCTGCATGAGGCCAGCAGGCAATCTCTGTACCCGTGGTTTCCTCCCTGGGGGAAAAGTCTAGAAGTGAGGTGTGCAGTCTTCCAACATGCTGTCGGTGATATAGCTGGAACCAAGATGGGATTCATAGTAACTTTTTTCATCAAAGGTATTAACAGTCCAACCAACAACCTGAATGCCTTTAGCTGACCACTTCTTTAAATAGTCCCTGGAGAAAGACAAAAAAACAAATCTGTTAAGACAATGACCAGATGGCCCAGGAATATACTGATCACTGAGTATGGTACTCACTGAGTACTTACAGTGCTCAGAAAAAGCCTCTTAACTGAGACCACAAAGAGTGTTGCAAAACCCAGCGTGAGAACCTCCTCCACATTGTTCCAGCTGAAAACATTTCAGTGGCTAGCTAAAGAACACTCCCCACCCCCCACAAAAAAAAAAAATCATATTGGAGGCTGACTTAGACCCACCTGTCTCTTTGGCCTCATCTTAAACCACACTCCCCCTTTCTTTTCTGTGCTGCAGAATATTGATTTTCAGTTCCTTGAAAGAACCAGGCTCTTTCCTGCCACGACACTTTTGTTTCTCCTTCTGACTTGATCTCCACACCCGCCCCCCCCACCAATTGCTACTCACCCTTTAGACCTCAGCTTAGTTGTCACTTCCTTGGGGATGTTTTCCCTATTCCCCCAGCAAGGTAAAATTATATATGCACACTGTTCTCTCCTACAAAGCATTTGTCTTAGCTGTACTTCACTGAATTTTTAGTTGATCAGCATCTCTCTCTTCCACTTGACTATCAACTCCATGAGGACCATGGCTTTTTTTACCATGAGGACCATGGCTTTTTTTTAGTTATCTTCAGATTCTTAATATAATACCTTGCAACACTGTGGACATATTTACCAAATATTTACTGAATGAAATGCATACATGCCTGAAGTAATATGAAACTTAAATTATAATCAGCTGAAACACATAGCTATAAAATTGCTAAAAGACAGATTCAGAGATTGCCAGCATGTTAGGAAACAAGAAGTTTCTTGCAAAGATGGAGCAGAGCCTGTAGTGAACGGGAGCAAGAGGAAAGATGGGAGAGGTCAATTAGGCACCCACGGGACATCTTCACTGTGGTCTGACTTGGTTCCTATGTTGGTTTCCAAAGGAAGCCAATCACAGGGAAACATAATCTCTTATCAGTTGGGCAAATTTATTTTTTCTTTAAAATGCACTTAAAACCAAAAATATTTGATCAACTTGTTTTGGAAATAATAAAACATGCCTGAACCCTTCCCACCTAAGAAGCTAGTGACACTCCCACTTAGTAAGGCACGGTGGGATCTGCAGGTAGGAACCAATCCAGTCTGTCCACCATCAACCCTTCCTTTCCAAGAAGTACATTCAGGAAATGTGTCAGGAGGAAATAAAACACCATCCAACTTACGGGGATACAAAATCCTTTTGCATGAAGAAAGCAGAAATTCCACACAGGTACCACAAGATATTATGCATGCTCCAATCGAGCAAAATGTCCAGGACTATAAATGTGGACTGTTTCCAGAACGTATCATAGCGTGGTTTCCCATCTCCTGTATAGCTAAGGCTCCAAGGTCTGTGAGTTAAAGCCGTTACCACATTCCGATCTGTTCGTCTCATCTGAAAAAAAATTTTGGAAAATGAAATAATTATTGTAAATCCAATACCTCTCATTTCTTATAAATAAGTACTCTACCATAAACACTTAGAGAAAATAATGTGATGGATGTAAAGCACTTAAGTATAAATTAGAACACTTCCTTCACAATCCTAAACGAACTGCAATCCTATCTTTAAAATGAGAAAATCGGCCCTAGCTGTTTTGGCTCGGTGGTTAGAGCATTTGCCCACAGCCTGAAGGGTCCCTGGTTCAATTCATGCCAAGGGCTGTACCGCAGTTGCAGGCTCAATCTCAGGCCAGGCCCCAGTCAGGGCACATGCAGGAGGCAACCAATCGATGTGTCTCGCTTTCTCTCCCCCACCATTCGCTCTTGTTCTCTCCCTTCCACTCTCTCTGAAAAGCAATGGAAAAAATATCCTCAGGTGAGGATTTAAAAAAAAAAAAGACGAAATCATAATCTCAGGCTCAAGTTTTAATAATATTACAAGAAAAACTTTCAACTGGATATCAATTTAAATTCTGGCCAGAGATAATTAGAACTCAATGAGGATGGAACTAAGATCATTTCAAGAGGGGCTGGTTAGCTTTTGATCCTTTCTGGAGAAAATGGCTGAACAGACTGGTGGAGGTGGGGAAGTGGGATGAGAAATACGTGAGAAGAGAAAGGAAGAATGTGGGGGCAGGGGATAGGAAGAAGGCAAAGGGGAAATGGGGCGATGAGGGGAAATGGGGCAAAGGGGAAATGGGGATTCTGCCAGCCTGTGCACCATGCTCCCCTGCAGACTATATCCTACATTTTAAAGGCCTCTGTGGCCAAGTAAGTTTGGGAAACACTGATCCAAATATCTGAAAGCTCTACGACCCTATTCATCTCAATGACAGCTTATGTGTCAACAGGCTACACTCCTACTGTAAAATTTTAAATGTATGCTCCATTGGCCACTGTTGAAGAATGATACTGGACCAATTCATTATTTTGGAAACTGGTAAATTAAGGAAAAGATTAAGCATTTTTTTGCCTATTGGGCAACTAAATAGATGAGAGTTTCTTTTTATAGAACTATTCCAGGTAATACATGGAAGAAATTTTAGAATTAAAATATTAACATTTTGCAACCCCTAGTAAATTGAGAAAGCTAGCCACTGGCATCAATAGCAGCTGCTAACAAGAGTCAGCCAGACGTTACATGCCTTCTGATGGAAAAGTACCCTGACCTGTGAAATTATCTTGCCAAGAACAACTGAACCTCATTCGATCAAGCCTTTAGCTTTCCCTGCCAATTCAAAGGAAATACACGGAGGAGAAGGATGTGCTGAACTGTGTCATGTAGCAAAATCCAGACTTGGGCAACTTCTACAGAACAACCTGGTTTTAATAAATACATCACAAAGGGGAATAAAAAGAAAGGGATCTGACAGGTTTAAGATTTAAAATTATAACAGGTAGTCTTTACTTGGGTCCTGATTCACATTAACAATCTGTAAAAAACAAAAACCATTTGTGCTATTTCTGAGACAAATGAAATGTATACATTGACTGCATATTTGATATTATAGACTTACTGTTAATGATATAAGATGAAATAATGTTATTGTGGCTATGTTTTTAAAGGAATCACGTTTTAAAGATACTTAATATGTTTGGCCAGGTGGTTCAGTTGGTTGGAGTGTTGTCTTGTACACCAAAAGGTTGCAGGTTCAATTCCCTGTCAGGGCACATACCTAGGTGGTGGGTTCAATCCCGGGTCAGGGCATGCACAAGAGGCAACAGACTGATGTTTCTCTCTCTCTCTTTCCCCCTTCCTCTCTCTAAACATATCCTAGGGTGACAATTTTAAAATACTTAATGCAATTTTTATGGATGAAATGATACGATGTCTGGGATTTGCTTCAAAGTAACACTGGGGAAGATAAGGGGGTATTGATGAAACAAGCTGGGTCATGGTTAGAGGGGCTCACTGGACTACTATCTACTTTTATGCATATTTTAAATTCTTGGAAATTTAGGGTTTTTTTTAAAAGCTATATTTTCCTGTTACTCAGTGAGACATACAGCTACATAATTCTTTCTGTTCTGAGAACACTTACCAAAGTAATCCAAATGAGCCTATAAACATAAAAAAAGGAGCTAAAAAGGAATTATGGTATTTTAAAATGAAGTGTGAGTACATTCCCTTTCCTGAATTTCTCATTAATGTAAAAGAGTAATTTCCTGACTGGCCGGTGTAGCTCACTGGCTGAACATCGATCTATGAACCAGGAGGTCACAGTTTGATTCCTGGTCAGGGCACATGCCGGAGGTTGCAGGCTCGATCCCCAGTAGGGGGCGTGCAGAAGGCAGCCAATCAACAACTCTGTCATCATGGATGTTTCTGTCTCTCTCTCCCTCTCCCTTCCTCTCTCTCTGAAATCAATAAAAACATATATTTCTAATAAATAAGGAGTTTCTTAACTGATTCAGTTCAATTTAACAGGCATCTGTCTTATGCTTACTTTGCCCATTGCTATTATCACCACCAACTAATATAATATTATATACAACAAAAATACTGTATTTTACCTTATAGATAACTTCTGGCAAGAAAGAGCAGACCATACTATTATTGTATAGTTGAGGAAACTCCATATACATTTTCTTTAGAGCATCAGTAGCCTGTAAAACAGAAGACATTCAGGTATTTAAAGTCTATTAAAATGTAATAGCCTTAGGCAATAGCTATTAAATATTAATTACAACCCTATCAAATAAATGAGATGTTTACTTATATATAGGGATGTTAAAAGGAGTATTAGTAGATCCCACTACCCACTGGGGTATATTTTAAACTCACATCTGCAGTAGACAAAGAAGTTGGGATACTACTGCTTTACTGTCTTACTAACAGGCTCACCCATTTTGTCATATTTTTGGAAAGTATGGCAGACTGTAGGCCAGTGGAGGCTGGAAACAAAATTTTAAAATCTTTTCCCTATACCTTAGTTTAACCACTAGGAAAAATCCTTTTATACCCACAACTCTATCACCCTCTGCTTTTCCTAGCTGAAGCATGAGTCACCAGCCTGGGAACTACAAAGGGTAGATGTTCTGAGTCCAAGGGATTGAGAGGAAACATCATCCACCATGAACATGAAGATAGAAGCAATGGGACAAGAGAGAAATTAGGAAGAGTTGGAAGTCTCCCAACCCTTCCCAAGGCGAGCAGAAATTTCTTTTTGTAGTCCAGCTAATAAATAAAGAAGAAATGATACAATTAAAACATTGACGTTTTGTATACTCTAGCGAATTAATAGATCTGGCCATTGAATATAGTGCTGCTACATCACAATTCTTGAAATACTGCTAATTTTTGGAAAGTGACATATACCTATCACCAAATATTAACAACAAAATGGATTCCAAAAAGGAAAAAAGAACGTAGAAATGCTTCCCTTTCACTAATGTGACTGAGTGTGAGCTACAGACTCATGAGGAAACTGAAGCTTATCAAGGTTAAGATTACACTGCAGTAAATCCATAATCTTGGCTCCTGTGCTCTACTATTTGCTGCCAACACTTGTTCCTTTATACAAACATTTTGGTGAACTGGATCACTATGTTCTACCCAGTCTTGCCCAAACCATCTGTTGAGCACCCAAAGAGAAAGTTTAAATAGCTGGATTAAAGATATGTTTTTTCTTCTCCCCCAACCCTCCTCACCCCCTTCATGAAGGTCACTACACCATGGGTAAAATGTAGGACCTATCAGGGTTCCCAAACATGGGCCTTATTATCAACAAAACCTGAAGTGCTCATTACAAATACATGTTCTTAGATCCCTAGATATTTTCAGAATTTCTTCTCTAGGTGGTATGGCCCAAAAATCCATATTTTTATAGGCATTCCTGGTGATTCTGATGCAGACCAACTGGAAAACCTAGAACTATCAATTTAGTAGAAAAATAAATGAACCAGAGCACCATTCTCTTTTTTCCTCAAAAACAGGAGTTTACTACAACTGGTTTATATATCCTGAGGCTTATATTTCAGATTTTAACAACTGGTTTCAACTGAATCCTAGAATTAATTTTAATAATTGACATCATCAGAATTCTAAACCAGTAGATGGCCATTACTGATTATAACTATTGCTAACTAGGGGTAAATTTAACACAAGTTGTCCAAATGCTGAAAAAAGTATTTGTACTTGAAAAGCTGGTTATAAGACAACAAATGTAATCTGAACTACATTTTCCCAATGCTTTCATTGCAATATATTTTTATGAGTAAAAGTGTATGTTCTAAGATGTAAGCAAAATTTTATTTAGGAGTCATACAGATTTGAAAAAAATTATAGTAATTTTCTGATACAAGTATAACTACTCAAATCATAGAATAACAAAAATACACATAAGAGATAGAAATCATACAGAAGGGACAAATCTGTGTGAAGGAAAAATATCCTATTAGCTATCGGAAGCTTTAAATTTCACCCACAGCCGTCCATCTAAGATCTTTAATAGCCAGATGAAACTGGTCGTGTCCGACTCCTGAATTCCTTTTATAAGGCTGCTTGAAGTCTGTTCAAGAAGTGCCTCCTTATTGTTTATTTAATATCTTTGGCAAATGCTTTGTGCAAATAAGAGAAACCTGACTCTTCTATTTTGTGCTAGTTCTAGAATATCAGGAGTTGTTAAAAGGTTCCATCAAAGGTTAAAAAGTTTAAAAGATTCTATAATTTATGGTTTTCCTTACAGACGGGGATTTTTGTATTGTATACTTCAATTGAGCAAATATAACCTATAAAAATAATTTAAGAATAATAATAACAAATTATTTAGTTTTGGAAATGATTAACAATTAAAGATGTCTTTCTTAAAAAGTGAAGTCTATGGTATAAATTGTACCTTATTTGCATGGCCCTTGACATCAAAGAAGATTGTGAGGTTATGGTTTAGGGACTCTGTAACTGCTTCTCTCAGGGTAGGGATTTTTTCATCAGGGAAATCATTCCTGTCGGAGAGGGAAAAGGCATAGTACATTGTAGGAAAAAGAAAAAAATACAAGTTTAGTGGAACAGATATTTAACAAATGTCTCCCAAACAAAAGAAAAGACTGTTTTCCCCAACTTTCTTTCTTAACCACACTAAAGTCCAAGGACAATTTACTGTATGAACTTAACCAAAGTACAGATATTCTTGACGAAAGAACAGCAACAACAAAAAAAATCATTTAATTTTTAGGACATCACTGGATTTCCACTGGATTAGTAATATAATTAGTAATTCTACTCACTAAAGGGCAGAGTATACGCCACCTTCAGAAACTCAGAGACTTAATTTTAAGACTGTAATTGCCCTAAGAGAACCTTGCAGGAAAAATTCCTAGGAATACATAAATCTGTTGACTGTATTTTGTTGTTCATTTAAGTGCAAGTGGTTAAAATAAATAATGTTCTAATACATAATTTCCTGATTAAAAAAAGGGAAGTGCCTAATATATTAAGAAATTGGCTTTTCTCACATAATAAAATTTCACTGTATATGACTTAACTTATGCTAATTCAACTGTATTATTTCCATTAGAAGATCTTGGCTTTAAAAAAGATAAAGAGCATGGAAATAGTACAAGCAATTCTGCCAGCCATTCTATCCAATGCCTAGGCCCTGGAGTGAGAGATTAGATATATAAATTTGCTATTCCCTTGGCCAGTCTTAGCTTCCATGCCCCCTCACAGGATGACCATCTCACCACATTGTGTAATTCTAGAGAAAATAAGTATTTTTCCTACAACATGGTACCTAAACACAAGCCAATTACTTCACTTGGTGTTCAAGAAAAAAAAAAAGAAAAAAAACGCAACCTGTTCCAATTATGGAATAAAGACTAGTCATGTTAAAGACATAAAGATGGTACATTGATATCATGCCTTTTTCCCCCAAGATTTTTCAAATTCATTTTGAGAGAGAGGAAGAGAGAGGGAGAGAAATACATCAATGTGAGAGCAAAACATTGATTGATGGGCTGCCTCCTGCACGCCCCCTACTGGGCATCGAGCCTGCAATCCAGGCATATGCCCAGGCCAGGAATTGAACCAACCACCAACTGAGCCACACCCACCACCGCTGGTATCATGTTTTCATAAAGGATTTTAAGAGTGATGCTGACACTAAGCATTTTTTTCATTTTAAGTGTTGACTCTGAGCCTGACATCTTATGTGTACTGTCACTGTCACATTAAAACCAGCCTTTCCCTTGCATGCAGCAGAGCTATGAAATACCTGATTACTATAGTAAAGAGTAATCCCAGCAGCCTGGACTCAGAATTTTCAAGTTATCAATATTCTTTCTAAACTAAAGCATAATTTCCTTTGGCTGATTTTTAATTTTTTTCAGATCCTAGGAAAATTAAGTCTGAATTATCTTTTAGGGAGGACTATAACTTAATCACTGGGTGCAATACGCAGTGCTCAAGGAGTATTCATCACTGTCCAGAGAAATGATACGACATGAACAACAATAAGCACACATTTTTCAGTATTACAAAGAAAACAAGAGGAGAGGGATTTAAATAACCACATTCCAAAGTATATTATTGCCCAGTATACCAATTCTAAGGTGTTTATAGCTGTTAATGGTAGGAAGGGTGTGGGTTCTATGGTTATATATATTTGAGAAACACTAAATTAAAGGTAAAAATTGACTGACATGGGCTATTTCCCAGGAGGAACATCAAGAGTACAGTGTTTGATCTTATTTGATCACAGAACCCTTTTCTTGGGGAACATCGTATAGGACTAGCACTGATATACATATATATACAGTGTCCCAAAAAAATGTATACACACACTTTGAATAATTATAAAGGGGGTGTTTATTAAAATACATTTCATTTTCAAAATTGAGCTATATCAGCTATTAAAGTATATATACATTTTTTGGGACACCCCGTATATATATATCATTTATATGACAACACAATGTAATTGTCATGTTAGTGACTAGAAAGAGTATTGTCTTGGGAATAATTCTAAGGCCAAATTTGGCCTCAGTGGGAAAAGATGAAAAACATCCTTTTCTGTTGTTCCTGGCACCTGCTTATTACTTGAGAAACCTGTAGACAGTTCAAAATAAAACACAACAAAACAACTCTCCTGGAGCAGAAGATGTGACTTGAAGGTACCAGTGTCTGTCTATAATCTCCAACAACAAAAAAAGATATGTTTAAGTGACAATCAACAACTTACCTTAATCTGTGATTTGCTGCAGGATTAAGCTTCCTAATTTGTTCAAAGGTCAAATCACACAATCGACCAGTGCCATCTGTCGTCCTATCTACTGTGTTATCGTGCATCAAGACAGGAATCCCGTCAGCCGTAAACTCAAGGTCCAACTCCACGCCTGTTGCTCCATTCTTAGCTGCCTTAACAAAAACATCAACAATATTAATGTGAAGTGTCATTTTGCAACATAAACACTCAAGGCAATCAACAGGGCTGGGTAAGTAGACAGCTACTCTTACTGATTCCTTTCACATTTAATGTATCCATTCCTCAGCTGATTGACATTTTTTTTTCTACTTTTTTTTTTTTTAATACTCACCTGAGGATATTTTTTCCATTGCTTTTCAGAGAGTGGNGCTGAGGATATTTTTTCCATTAATTTTTAGAGAAAGTGAAAGGGAGGGAGGAGAGGGGGAGAGAGAGAGAGAAAGAGAGAGATTGAGAGAGAGGGAGAGAGAGGGGGGGAACACTGATGTGAGAGACACACCAACTGGTTGCCTCCCGAACACACCCCAACCAGGGTCAGGGATCAAGCCTGCAACCGAGGTATGTGTCCTTGGACAGAATCGAATCTGGGACCCTTCAGTCAGCAGGCTCACGCTCTAGCCACTGAGCCAAACTAGCTAGGGTACCACTTTTTTTTTTTTTAAATCCTCACCCAAGGACATGCTTAGAGGGAGG